AACATGGGAAAGTAGATCCATGGTATGGCATGGGGTTGTTTTGGTCCTTGTATCGAATGATAAACCCCACAGTGTTTGCTCTTGGAAGTGAACAATTATTGAGGTTTAGTTAATGCACATGCAAGAAAAAGAAATAAAACTATGTTAAATGAGCAATTTAGTTCTGTTAACTCAGTTACAGCCACAGCTTATGGCAGGCTGTGAATGTACAAGTTCAGATACTCACGTAGTAACAGCACATTTTACTTCACGCAGAGAATCCTGTTCCCAAATAAACGAGATATGGGTAAGGGCAATTAGGTTTATGGTGGGTGGAGTACTGCAAGGTAAAAGTGCTTACAGCACCATAACTACTGTGGAGAAATAGACACTTAATCATATGTTTACATGCCTCTACAATCAGTTTAATTAAATTACTGTCAAAAGCGTATAATTCAATTTTTCCTCTTTAGGAGGACTAAGTACAGCCCGAGGAAAGGATGAATTCTGAATAAAAAGAAGAGGCAACTGAGTTGGAAATTAGGGTTAACATAACCCTAAGGTAAGTTTCTTCAAGGGGTAAATGAAGATGAGTTTTTTGCTAGAATGGCACATGCTTTTAAGTGGCAAAGACTTTAGGCAAACATTTTTTTATGTATTCTTAAAACAGATTCGTTAAAAAATTTCCTAAATGTGACTTCTCAGGAACATTTAAAAAGGGCAGTCAATTTTACATCAGGTAATTTAAATAATAAATGAATAAAAATATTAAAAATTGAGAAAAGTCCCCAAATAATGTACAAAATGCTACATGTACACATGAATCTACCAAAAAATAGTGCACCTTTATCTGCTTTTATTAATCAAGGTTTTAAAAGTGTATGCTCTGTATTTATTGTGCATGTAGCCCAGCAAAAATTCTTGGAAAATATGACTTAAAAAACTGGATAAAAAATACTATAACTATTCCCGCATAGGGTTGTTTGGTCGAATATTGTAATGAAAGATATAATAGTGGAAATCCTTCATTGAATTGTAGTCTGTGTTTCTGTTAGTGCCATCATTCTAGAGTGGTTTACAGCTAAACTGGTTTGGCCCTGGACAATGAATTTCCAAGTTTTTAACACTTCTCCTGATACAGATATTAAATGATAACTAAACGTTTCTTACTGAAATGTTTTTACAGACCTTATATTTTATATCAGCCCACTACTAGTCTGGTGTTGCCCCAAATTTAAGTAGTAATCTTGAATGCTACATTTTTCACCTCTTAAGACATCGTTGCTTTTCCGCAGAAGGTTACAAACCCAAGCCTGGAAGGCTCTATTCCATCATCAGAGCATTTGGGATTGTTAGAGTTACTAAAACAAAAGCGATCAGGTCAATATTTGCATCAGGTCCTTTACAAAAGCAAAGTGTTTGACATCTGCATCGTATTAAGGCAGTGCAGTTAATGGGAGCTCCTGTAGTGTATGATTGAGCTGCCAGTTCTTGGTAGTGCTGAAAGTCAGACTGCCTGCTTATTTAGGATCTAAAATTTCAGGTGTGTGGTACTTTTCTGGAGTGAAGCTCATAACAGGGCCAGAGTTTAAACATGGGTGACAGAGCCTGAGTGTTCTTTGAAAATTTGAACCATAATTCATAAGCTGAAGATGTAGCAGGTAAATACACCAAATGTCATCATAATTAACACTGTTGACATAGTATGGTGTATTCTGGGAATTTATAAGAACTTGAATAAATGGCTGAGGCTGATATTACTACATGCTATGAAAGTACAAAGCAAAAGATGATAGTTTGTCAAGAAAACAGCAATTGAAATTATAGAAGGGTGTAGAAAACTGATGTGGTATATTGTGCTATTCTAGAATAAGAAACTTTATTCTAAACACAGATATTTTTTTAAACTATTATCCATTTCGCTTTATGCCAGTTATAACAAATCAGATAATCTCTTTGCTGAAATTTCTTAACGTATAGTGTTGTTGCAAGTGTTTACTCTGCTGGAATGAGTTTAAAAAATGCAGTACAGTAGAGATTATAAAATCAAATGAAAACCTGCCCATGTTTAGAGTTTTGTGATTTCATTTACTTCAATTCAGTGCTTTAAATTTGTCAGGTTCATTGCTACGAACAAGAAAGATATTAATTTTTCTCTCTCAGTAAGCACAGAACACAAAATTACATATTTTCTTTAAGCAAACCTGCCTGACATTCTTCCATGAATACTTGAAATTTTCTGATGTTACCCTGTAACAAAAGCTTCAAATCAGCACTAATGTACTTGACATTATGGAGTGGGGTTCTTGAATAAAGGCCATGCACAGGTTTTTAAAAGGTTCATACCTTAAAAATTATATCACTGTTCTGCTCTCTAAATAGCAATGAAAAAATAAGCAATGAAGCTTATTTTTGTACTGTATGATGTCATAGCACAGACATTTAAACTAAAGGGAAAAATTAATAATTAGCTTACAGATTTACAGTCACTGGAGTTTGAATTTTAGGTAAAGACAAACACAAAGAAGGTATTTGACAGCTTATTCTTTTGACAGAGACTGTAACAGTGATCTGGGTGGAGAAATATGCTTTAGGTAATATTGCTGGCTTTAAATAATTTTTTACCGCTTATTTTGCTTTGTTTTTTTTCTAAAGAAACCCAAAAAACAAAAAACCCCAAAAGCAACTTCTTGTGCTTATTTTTAAATGTAATTTCAATATTGTTAGTTGAATTTACAATGATATCTTAGAAAATATCTATCAGCTTTTAAATGCATTTTTTAGAATGTAATATATAATTTCTGTCATTACAAAAATGTTACTGCATGACTGTGTCGAAGGGCTACAATTCAAAGAGATATATAGTATACAAATGTAAATTAAAAAAAACCCTCTTTTTTGTTCTTTTGAGGAATATTGAATAGAGTATTTTGTGAGAACTGATATACAACAAGGCCTATCAAACATGGCTATTACATTAAAATTTTCCGTGCAAAAACTAAATATTTTCACCTTGCTATCTGTAACATTAGCTTTATCAAACATAGGAAAATGTAGGGAAAAGCACACATCTGCAGGTAATGTTATCTGGCTATTATAAGGAAATTTGGACTGTTTTGAGTGATGGCTACCAGAGAGATAAACAAACATTTAAGAAATTATTATACTAAATGCAGAAAAGGGACAAGGTTACAGTAAGAGTAATGTGTTTATTTATATGAAATTGTTGTACAAATCAATGTGCTCTATGTTTATGGTATTGCCTGAATTATCTTTCCTCTAGTGGCTTTTTTTTTTTCTTTAAAAAACAATAGAACCTGAAAGTCACTCAGAGGATATGTTTTATGAGGTTTGGAAAACACGCGGTTCTAATAAGTTGCATAAAAACCCCTATGATAATGAGGAACACCAGCTTTCCTGGGAAAGGTATAGTTCCCTAATTCAGAGCAGGCATTAGAATATGAAATCAAGATTTTTAGATATCAGCCGGAATTTTCGTTCCTCTCTGATTCATTAGTATTTTTGTGCGCTCCTGGATGAATACGTCCTAAGCATCCTTAAACTGAAAATGGTCTCTAATGCAAAGGCAAAACTTGCAGAACATTGGGCACCAACTGGAAAAGGATTTTATTTCAGCTACCAGTGGATGATTACTAATAACACAGATTTACTTTGCCTTCGTGATCAGAATACTTACATGCTTTTGTAAGCCGTCTACCCAGAATTTATAAATAGGAAAGAAAATAACCCTCGAAAGCCAAACAACTTCTTCTCCTTGTCGCCATATGCTGCATCTTTTCCCCCTAGATTTTGTATACTCTGTGTGCTGGAGAATAGTGTCTTTTCTTTTCATGTTGCTCTGTCGGCGGTCATAAGAGCTATTCTCTTCATGAATATGTAAATCCCATGCATAAAATCAGAAAAATTAGCATGGCGATTCCCATTATAGAATGTGCCCAATTATGTCTGTCTAATACGTGAATAGTGATGATTTAATCTTTTGGCTATACGAGGGGATTCAGGTACAGTTACAAGAGCTGCTGTAATTACAGAGTACCCAAACACACAAGCTGGGTGCGTGCACATGCTGGGGGATCATCGGGCTTTAATAAGAGCTGGGCATCTGATGCCTGGCTATGATGGAGTGCACGCAGATTCATTTACAGGCGCTTTCTCTGATGGGTAGTGACAAGGGAGAAAAATGCCCTAGGTCTGCAATACCCTTCCCCTTACTAACTGAGACTCATTTGCATCCGAAAATTTTTATTTTTTTTTTTAGTTCCTCCTCAATGCTTGCAATTAGAACGGAACAGATAAAAGTTTGGATAAATATAAAGGGAGAAAAAATGGTGACCGTGTTTGCTGGGCGTCCTTAACTCACTTGGTTTATCAGGAATGGGTGTTGGAGCCGGGGGGGGGGAGAAGGAAGGACATGCAGAAAGCAAAACCAAAAAGGCACCACCAGCAACTGATGCATTTTTGTATTTAAATAAGCAGGCATGCTCATGCATATTTATATGACGTGCATGCCTATGCGCCGCTCTGAGCAGTGGCTCTGCGGCTCGGCTGCAGTAATTAGGCTGATGTAATTATAGCAAAACAAAGCAAGCTTAGGCTGATATTTATTTTTTTTTCCCCATGCAGTGGGAACATTAAAGACATATGCGTATTCCAGCGTACAAAAAATGAACCTGCACCGCTGTCAGGGGCTAGGAGGACAGTGTGGCCAGTGCACCTATTGTGTCACTGCTGTAGAAAGCAGCTTAGCGATTGGCCACTGTCTGCAGCACATAATACTGACTGGTTATAAAGGACTTGTCTAGAGGAAAGCCTGTAGGTACTCCATTGTCTGGCAAAGTTGATATGACTGCATTCTTTTTGCAGGGGGTCAGACAGCTGAACTGTAAAAGCTGCACAGATTTTTTTTTTTTTTCTTCTTCCTCTGTCTCTGTCTCTCTCTCTGTCTCTTCCATACAGCATTTTTCTTTCATGCCCTGTCTCAGTTTGCATAGTTAAAGAGAATGCTAATTAAGATCCCTTGTCTTAACCTGAAAATAATGACTTGGATGTAAATAGAAAACTGGCGATAGTTTAAAATATTCTTGCGTAGCACCAAGATATCAGTTACCATTCTAGGGGAAAAAAGGAAGAATTAATTTTTTTGTAATCAAGGTAAACAAAGAAGAGTTGTTGCTTCTCTTTCTTCCTTTCTTTCATTCTTTCTTTTCTTTTTTTTTTCTTTCTAAGCCAATGATGCTGTGCTATTGCAGGTCAGATAATATTTTATTTCAGAAATAGTGCTAGCTACATAATTTAAAAGTCCACAAATCAGTTGCAATTTAGTGCTTATTAATCCTTCTTAGGATGTAATTCAGTGAAAGAACTGCTTTAAAAAAATTCTTTTCTGTATTATAGACGGATCTAACAACGCAGTCTGGGCTCCGTGCCAAAGGCTGGTATTTCACAGCAGCGACCGCCTTACAGATGAGCTGTGGGAAGCAGGAGGGAGACTCTCTTAGGGTGCCACTACTATGGAGACACAGCTGGGCTGAACAAGATTTGCTTCAAACGACAACAAGAGAGACAGAAAGAGTCTGGTTCGACCGCTGCCCAAGCAGGCAGTAACCAGAAGAGCTAGCAGCCAATCCGGCCATGCTGCACTGTTCGAAACCAGCTCTACATCCCAGCCAATCAGTGACATCACTGGTGAGAAACTCATTTACATCATGCAGTAATGAACTTTGTTTAACGTATCCTTTTTTCTTTTCTTTTTTTTTTTTTCCCTCACAGAGATTAGGTCCTCCATTAATTATTCTGCCAGCATAATTTGAATCGCTATGCAAAACGGTGGCTACAATTTCTTGATTTTTTTTTTTAACTATGTGCTGTCTCTGCAGGTAACCATGGGCATTGTTCCATTTTTTTTTTTCTGTTGGCCCCATAAAACCTTTAAAAGTGTCTATTATTGTTAATATTGTGCATATATTTTTCTTTCATGTCTGTTTGTCTCCTTGTAGTCCTTACCTAATGTGGTACTGCTTCCTCCAGTTATAGCCTGAGATTACCTTTAGCTGTCTTGAAAGGTAAAAAGGGTGTTGGTGCAGCATCGAGTTTGCATCTTTAGCTGCCATCACGGTCTAAGTACTTATTCTAATGCTTCAGAAATCATTTCACTGTGGCCGTTTTACATATCTGGCTTTCTCTAAAGGTTCTTACGTGCATCTGTTACAACTGAGTGAAGTTCAGTACTGTTATATTTCATTCTTCACCACTTTCAGCCAAGATGTCATTTTATTAATGAATAGAACTGAGATCATTTCTGAACAAATTTCACCCCCTTCCTTCCACCTCGACACAATGCACCTGATTTGCATCCATTTACGAGAATAAATGAATACAAGAGCCAGTATGAAAGGAAGTCAAGGGAGAGCTTGCATACTGCTTCAGGGTACGTTGCAGCAAAGCGAAATATAGAATTTTTGTTTAACTATTTCTATTTTTACTTATAATGTGCTTAATCTACACAGAAAAGATTAGATCTCAGATTGAAAAACAATTATCTAGCCAGCTTTTAATATTAGGGAATAGGTTTGGTGTGGCTTTTTTTTTTTTTTTTTTAATAATAAACGTGCAAATTTTCTTGAGATGTGTTCAATTATAAATGGAAAACATTTGGGCAAGCCAACATTGTGTTGAACATTTGGATTTAGTTCTTTGTGAGTAAAGTAATTTGTTGTGCGAACAATTTAAGACCAGCCTAGAATACTGTGGAATGCAGAGATTTCAGACTGCATAATCTAATGAGGCAAGGTTTTGCTCTTCAGTATTCTAATAGCTGAAACAGAATCAGATATGAGACAAATTCAATATTGTGTTATTAAATTAAAGCTATATCTGTTGCTAGTGGGCTTCAAGAGGTCAGGTCTTTGGTAAAGCAAAATTTTATTTAAGGAAGTAGCCTGAAATAGAATTTTTGCGACAACATGATAACTTCCCCCCTCCACGCACACAATAATGTACAATTTGTTTATGGTGCTTCACTTATATATTGATCTTTCTAGCCACTTTGAAAAACAGAGGATTTAAACACTAAACCATAGCTCTTTCAATGCATGATGCATTCCATCATCCCATCATCAGTATTCTGTGTGCGGCTGTCCTGATTCAGCCACGAGCTCCCCTGCTGCAGATCCTGTAATTTGAATCATGCGTAATAATATATTATCCTACTGGGGGCCTTCCTTCAGTAGGAGAGTGGTTTTATACCTTCTGCTATAAGAGAACTGTTGGCTCCTTGCCATCTCGTAGCCATTATTCATGGAGGCAATCAAGATAGTCTTCCTTAAGGAATAACATCTGCACAACTGCCTGTGCCAGAAATATGCAGCCTCCCCTCACGTTATAAATTTGGTTTTCTTGGAAGCAGGAATATTTGAGAATACTGGAGCAGAAAAACTGGACATTTACAGGAATTCATCAAAAGTGTGTTGAATGTGCCATGTGCTGAAATCCAGGCTGTGAGGACATTTGGAGTGGCTAACAGAGGCAGAGGAGAAGAAAATAGGAGCTGGTGGCTGTTCTGTGGTTCTTGCTAATTTTTTTCCAACTCGTGTTATTGGCTTAGCTGATGATTGGTGCTGTATTAAAAATGTGACGTTTGCCTTGCTGACAAGGTAATTTCCTAACTAGAATGCTGGTGGGATGGTATCAGTTGGGACTAAAGGTGCATTTCCCAAGTTGAGAATCTAATCTTATTTGGTGCATTCAACAGGATGCGTTATCAGTTAGTAGTGAATTAAAAACAGATATTGAAAGGGACTAAGAGTGTAGAAAATATGGCCATTTCACAATGAAGTAGGAAATCCCAGAAATGCAGAATCTGAGAATATGAATTGTATTCATACAACATGAGTTATGTCTGCTGGTAAAAGCTCTGTAGGGCATCCAGAGGTGAGTAAAAGGACCTGCATGGGGGCAGATGAAGAGGAATCCCAGATCTGTGCAACTTTCTCATCTCTGGGATGTACACTGCTGCCAATGTAGTGGCCTACTATTTTCTTTCATTCATTTAAATGTCATCCCTAACCCCCCAAAAAAATATATCCTGAGATCTTATTTTTAAAAATATTCTTTTTGTGTAAGCATATAGAGGAGTGGAATTTTTTGTCATGTACAAACTGTTTGACCATCCCTGTTAATGATAACAGAGTTGTTATTTCTGATTTAGGGAGGTCTTGGGGAGAAGGAGAAGAGGTCTGATTTTGCATGTTCATCTCATCCTGGAGCTTACATATTCCTGATTGAAGAAAGTCAATGCAACTGTAGTAACTAATCCTACACAAGCTGTGTTTATTTCGGTACTATTGAGGTGTATAAAGAGGGGAGAGTCTTCTTGTTGTCATCATCTCTTGTTTTACCTTCTGGAAGACAGAAATGAGGTCCATAACCTATTTGATAGTGAAAAGTGCTAATATTTAGGAACAGAAATTCTTCTGAGACTAAAAGAATGACAGTTAAACAGCGTTCACCTGGTGGCTGACTTTGAATCTTCTTAGAGGGAAGACGTGACCTCAACACCTGAATAATGTCATATTTAAAATACTGACAAAAAAAATTGGTATTCTTTACAGAAACAAGGGAAGTTCAGTAATGTGGCCTAGAAATAAGCTAAAATTGCCTGTTAAGACAAACAGGTTAATAATTGGGGCTTAATCCCTGATTCACACCACCTAGTAGGGAGGAAGAGAGCTTAACAGGCCATTGATACTCCATTGCAGAACATTCTCCATATAGTCATTAAGTTTTCAATAATAGGGTTCAGTAGGAAAAACAATACAAAAGAACATAATAATTTGATGGATCACAGGAGGACAAATCACCTTTATGACAGCTGAACTCTGGCGTGTGAAAACAGACTAAGCAGAGAATGGCATTTGTCATAGTTCATCCTATTTAAAAGAAGAGTTATATCACTCTGAAGGATGAGCCAGCAAATAACAGCCACTGGAAATAACATATTTCTTTTCTACTTCTGTGAATAAACACATCATACTTGGTTCTGTTTTGTGCTAGAATTTCTGCTCTCCGATGAAAGTCCTAACAAAAAGTCCATTTCATGGATTTCTTCTTTCAAAAGCCTATTATTTCAGTAGCTGATGTTTCCAAGTAAGACAGCCATATGAAGAGGGTATAGATACTAAAATTGTTTTCTGCCATTACTTAGTGTATAAGCAGCCAAGTTTTTGCAGTTCAGGTTGTACTGTTTATAATGAAAACAATGAGGCTGGACAGCAGAGGTGACACTAATAGTGAATTACTGCATTTAGATTTTTATCTTTAAGAGAATATTCCTTTTTTCTCAAATAGTCAATACTTAAACAAACAGTTCCATTCAATCAGTTATTAGAATTAAGGGTGACAATGCTAGGAAAACACACTGTCATTGTTTAACCCCAGCCAGCAGCCAAGCCCCATGCAGCTGGTCTCTCACTCCCCCACCAGTGGGATGACGTAGAGGTTAAGAAGGGTAAAAGATAGCAAACTTGTAGCTGAGACAAAGACAGTTTAATAGGTAAATCAAAACCCACATGCTCAAGCAAAGCAAACCAAGGAATTAATTCACTCGTTCCAGGATGGTGGCAGGCAGGTGTTCAGCCATCCCCAGGAGAGCAGAGCCCCGTCACATGTGATGGTGACTTGACAAATGTCATCACTCTGAACATCCTTCCCTTCCTCCTTCTTCCCCCAACTTTATAGGCTGAGCAAGATGACACCATATGTTAGGGGATGTCCCTTTGGTCAGTTGGGGTCACCTCTCCTGGCTGTGTCCCCTCCCAGCTCCTTGTGCACCCCCAGCCCGCTCGCTGGTGGGGAGGTGTGAGGGGCAGAAAAGGCCTTGGCTCTGTGCAAGCCCTGCTCAGTGATAACAACAACATCCCTGTGATATCAACCTTGTGTTCAGCACACTTCCAAAACACAGTCTCATACCTGCTGCCATGAAAGAAATAACCTCCACCCCAGCCAAATCCAGCACATGCACTAAGGAACCAATGACAATGTTCCCATTAAAAACCCCATACATTCACTTTTTTTTTTTGCAACCTACTACATTAAATTGGTTTTAATACTCAGGTGTAAATCAAGACTAAAATACCCTGCGTATGTTTGCCTAAAGGCAAAGGATATTGAGCTATGAAATACACTTGTTTCCTTTTAAGTCAACAGCAAAAGGGTAGAAATGGTAGAAAGCTATAGAGAAATGCCTGCCTTGTTGAGTTTGGTCTAAAAATCTAGAGTAGTACCTACATACACATTTCACTTGGGCATATGAATGTTCTCTGAGTAAGGATTTTTTATGATCCTGGTTTTAGCCATTACTGAGATACATACTCGTCTAAGACTGTGGAGGAAAGACCTTATTTATGGGGTACTTTAATACTGAATCAAAATACGATCTTGGGTAAAAAGGGTCAGTTGGTATTTTACTGTGACACTTTAGCTTTCCTCACTTTAAATTAGGTTGTGGGAAATGGAGTGTGATGGCTATTCTCTGTATGAGAAAAAGCCTGGAAGGGACCAAAAACTGTTTTCTAGAAGCAAGTATAGAAAAAATGGTGAACATGGATGTAGGAGTCATCAGGTGTTCAAGGTCAGTCCTACAATAATTTAAGGGGTGATACTGAAAAAGGGGCCATTTCTTGACCTAA